GCCTTTTCAGTCTTCGTAATCCGTAGGCAGCCTTCCCAAAAATCAACGTAATTCATAATTTAGTACATTAGCCGCAAAGCGTAAAGTCGTAAATTACCTCTGAGACTTTAACATCATTCGCAATCGGGCTGCGAAAATTTTGCGTAATTCATAATCACTACCCCCCCCCCATGCAGTCCCTCCTATGATAATAGTTGTTCTTACTCTCCAAGCAGAGGTTGTGGGGGAACGATCGTTACATTTTTATATATGGCCGTTTTTTTTTTGTCCTGACCCTGTGTCCTGTCTCAGTGGCCGCGGAGCTTCTCTGGCTAATGGATACTGCCTGGACAATTTGATACTGTCTTTTTGCCACCGACAGGGATCTGCTTGGAGGTTAAGTAGCTCTATGCGATATGCCTGTTTGGTTTCTTTCAGACCTGGGACTGGGAGACTAACGCTAGCTACCGTGTGGCAGTGACATTTTGTCATGTCCAACTCAGACGACATCAACTTATCCTGCTGACAGAGTTACTGAGTACCCCCCTCCCCAACACCCTCCCCCCACACTACACCCCCCCCTGAGGACACCCCCCCTGACAGCCATGGCCTCCACACGGAGCAGGGGGGAAGGAGGCCTGCTGTACTGGGGACTCAAAGTGCTCGCAGGTCGGTGACAAAGTTAATTTTTATATAGTTTATACAACAGAACTTATAATTGTGCAATGGAATGTTTGAATTGGCCCTGAATAGTGGTGCATACCGGTTCACTGGACTTGGATCCGGACTTGTAAGAATGTTTAGGTTCAAGTCCAAAAAAACCTAAAAGTCAAGAACCGAGTCCGGACTTATTAGGCCTAACAAAATAAATGTTGTGTTTCCTATTACAGTCCAGAAAAAATTAGGGTTGGTAGGTAGGGATTCACTTCCCTAGGGTTCCCCGGATGACCCCTAACCGGGGGCCAACGGTGCTTCCACAAGTTCAACAAGTGAAAAATACATGATACAAAATGTACATGTATTTACTACCTGGAACTTGGAGCAATTTATTCCAAAGATGTTAACTGACATTAATATATTAAAAACTAAACCAAATCCTATTTCTCAAACAAATCACATATTGACACAGCTGAACAAATAAAAATGTGATCATGTTTATAAACTCCACTCAAAAACAATTTTTGAGAGACACTCGGGTCACGGTACTAAGCGTGATAAATATAGAATACAACACGGGGTATTCCGTATCGCCCGAGGTACCAGCCCGACCGCGCGTCGCGGGAGGGCTGGGACCGAGGGTGATGCGGAATACACCGTGTTGTATTTTATTTATGTCATACCCACCCAAGAAAACACGCCTTTCAATGCAAAATGAGCAGAAAGTTGGTGTCCTTAAACCCAAAAAGTGCAACAACATCAATTCCAACGTCCGAATTTTGCATTCGAATTTTCGAAAGCGTTGCACGCGGTTAGGGCGAAACGCGTTCGAATCGTTCTATGGAACATTTGGAAGCCCCGGGCCGTACGCGTTAAGAAGCCCCGGGCCGTACCGCTAGTTACCACACGGGCCGGAACACCCGTATCGAACGTAATCGCGGCCCAGGTAGGACATAATCTCTAATATCTCATCTGATTCTCCCAATAGGGTCTTTACAATGACAGCATCCAACCGCACATACATAGAAACAACAATATTACACAAGAAACCAATTAATTCGGAAAATTTCTCAGTAATGTTTGAAAATT